GCTCCTGTGTTAAGCTATCGGGGAAGACGACCAGAGCCCTAGATCTGGTGTCCCTGTAGATGCTAAAGTGTGTGTGTTTGACTCGTTGGACTTGCCTATGTGTTACATTTGTGGCGCCACCTGGATCTGATTGGGATTAATGGCATTGTCACGCGTGCTTTTTGTTTCTGAATCATGTGATTCTGGGTTGGACTTGGTATTTTATTGTTGTTAGCACCTCCTTCATTGTAGGCCAATATGCACGTTAACTGGTTTCCATTGTTTTCCAGAATTGCTTTTGCACCCCCATGCTCGTTTCTTCTTTTTATTTTCTTTTTTCCTTCTATTTTTCATTTGATTTTTGTTTTAATTGATAAATCCATGATAAAAATATACAAAAATATGTTTCTGGTCCATTGATATTTTTTTAATTAATTTTTCTAATTTATTTTGAATTAATTTCAGGAGGTGTTTCCATGTTTACCCTTGAATTAAGGTTTGATGTTTGATGCTTTTTTTTTGGCTTCTTGAACCAATTTTTCTAGAATATTTTGGCACATAATTAATGAGTATTTGAGGGATGTTTTGATGCTTTTATGTTGAATTATTGATTGGTTCTTAATTGATTTTAATTGCTCCTCGATGCATGGTCGATTAGCTTCCTACATGAGATTGTTTAATTCATTTTGGTGATGCATTTATGCAATCCTTTTGGAATCTTTTTCATGCTTAGGATTGATTGTCTTAACTTGAATTATAGCTTTGAATCCATATTTCTTTGGCCATTTATCTTCTTTTTTTTTTTTGAATTTTCAATTTGATGACGTTTTGAGTATGATTTTTGGCTACCTTTGACCTAGTTGTTTGAGATTGTTTTCTCGTCCGAATGAAGGTACGTAGGCACAAGACGGAGAAGTCTTAGCGAGCAACCTCCCCCATTTTCCCTCGTAGTCCTCCAAACTATGTTGACTCTGACTTTCCCATTGCACGAGGGAATACGTAGGCATAGGACGACGAAGTCCTATCGAGTCTCCTTTTGTTTTTTTTTCTTTTTGTTTCCGTTAGCAAATAGGCTTTAGATATACACACTCTTTGATTAGAACAACAAGTGTGGATCTCGTTGAGTACAACGGACGCGAGGGGTGCTAACACCTTCCTCTCGCGTAATTAATTCTCGAACTCAGAATTTAGTTGCGAGATCATGTTCCTTTATCTTTTGAGGTTTTTTCGATCATTTCCTTTCCCCCGTTGGAATAAATTACGTTTGGTGGTGACTCTGTTTTTTCCTCTGGTTGTTTTTCACAGCTGCGATAAATATAATTATGAAACGTCAAGGGTTCTTAATGGTACAATTAAGTAGCTAAAGCGATTACAACCAAATGGAAAGAATGTTACAATCCCATAAATGAATTAAAATAATATACAAATTACAAATACGCAATGAAACAATAATCAAATGATGAAACATAAAAACACAATAGATACTTAAAGCACGTAAATGATACTAAATGATATTATGTACTTTCACACATGTTAACAACTAAATAAGGAATTTTTATCTTGAAAATTTTATATTGAATTTAGTAAAAACATATAATTAATATTTTTATTGTTTTTTCAAGACAAACTTTTTACTCGTGGATTTCTTAACATGTTAGCATTACCTTAAATTATTTAGTAGGCATGGAAATAAAGTGGGACGAGTTTAAGCATTGTCAGCCCACCCTCTCCTATTAGAACCGACCTTACCCTGCCTCATAGAATCAACCTCGTCCTGTTGCTATGACTACTAAATAATTTATTGAGTAAAACACATGCAAGTCTTACCACTTTATGCTATACCTATTTCTAAAATGAAGAGCTCATATGTATTTCATCTGATAAGAAAGTAAGTATTTGAAAAAGTGTTAAAAAGAGAGTGTTTTTAGCACTCTGCATGATTACTATTCTCTTTTGTTATTGACTCATTTATAAAATATGTGATACATTAAGGAAAATATTTATCTAAAAAAATGTCAATTTTGATTATTAATAAATTTGATTTGATAAAATTATTATTATTACTACCTTTGTTCCTTTATGTAAGAGATAAATTATTTTTTAGGTTCATTGAATAACTAATGTATTTGGTAGGTTTATAGACTAGATACATTGATTATTCAATGAACCTAAAAAGTGAGTTGTCTCTTATTAAAGGAACAAATGTAGTATTATTTATTTTAAATTTGTATAAACGACTTATACTATGGCTAGAAATAGAAATAGATAAAAGGATGAAGACTACCACCACGATGAAACTTATAAGGTGGTGTTATGGTTTGCTCGTGAGCCGAAGGAGTAATTGCAAAATATTAGCATTACAATAGTTACAAGCCAGTGTTTAAATAATGTGAAACTTTGCAAGTGTGTGTAAAAATAATATCTGAGTGTGACTTGGGGTCAACATATATAAAGGAGATGATTATAACCATACATTGTTTGTCTGGTGTGGAGTATGGGAGACCGTTGGACATAGATCAACGATTGAGATGGAGAGGGAGGTCGTGCACTTATGCAGTATCATAGAATGTAAGTCTATTTGTACGTTAGTGAGTAGAGCGTTTTTGATGGATTAGGCCTATAAATTAGGTTGGTCGTAATGAGCCTTTGGTCCTCCCAAAAAGTTGCCCACCAAATCATTTCTATCATCTTCAAGGCGAGAAATATCAAAGTAAAAATCAGTGAGACCGGTCTAAAAATAGGTACCGTTGAGAGATCTTCGTTGAGAATATGCCTCAGGAAGAGAGAGAATTGTTGTGGTGATGAGTGCGGATAATTAGAATTGAGAACACACACATTTAATGCATCTTGTGCAGACATAATGTTGCTACGGAGGAGTCCTCCATGCAGACCCACACATGTAGGGTAGGGGTGATGTGCATAGGCTCACTTAAGTGTTGTTATAGATTCAAGATTTTATTTGAGACGTTGAATACAATTTTTGATCTTCTATTGAATAATGGTCATGAAACTCGTCACCCTTATAAAGCGGGAACTTGAACATTATTTCCTCTTTTCGACTTCTTAATTTCTTGAGCATCATCAATGAGAGTTTTGTCTATGAAAAAAGTGTCGTAGTATTCGTGCCAACAAAAACTACAGTGTAGCAATTAAAATTATTGTATCTACAAAGATCATGATTTATTGGTTTATTGGTTTGTGTGATTAATTGTAAGACAAAAAACTAAGATCAATGAGAGCATGATTTATTGATTTGTGTGATTAATTGTAAGACAAAAAACTAACTAATGTTGAATAAACACAATTATAAAAATGATTAAGCTCCCATTTTGAATTATCTACATCTAGATGTGAAAAATCTCATGACTAAACCTATAATGACTATGTTTTAACTATGACCTTTTACAAAACACAAAATTAAAACCTCACAACCCTACGTACACTGGGAATATCCAATCATAAGGTGATCCCTTTCGTTTGAATCAACCACCCTTATAATAGGAGTGTCCAATCACAACAAAATAGGTTTTTAAGGAACTCATGAAGATAGTTTTACAAAACACAAATTACAACCTTGAAACCCCCCATATATTAGGAATACCCAATTGAAAGGCAACAGGTTTTCCAAAAGCAAGTCCTCATACACTGAGAGTCTCTAATCGCAACGATGAATGTTTAATAACGCGTAAAATTAGACTAACGGTTGAGATTATTCTTGTTACAACGCAAACTATCATTATAATTTCATAGTTTGTCACATATTATGATTCAACTGAATAAATTCCTTTTCACAATCATGCGCTAATACACGTTTCATACTTTAAAAAATATCTACTAATTATCCAAAGTGTTTTTGAAAACCTTAAATTTTTTTGTGTCATGATGGGTTGGACTACATATTTTTGAACATCATTAACTCCTTATAAACTGAGAATTTTTCCTGCCATTACCACCCTTACACCGGACACCCCTTCATTGCAGTGCTTTTCTTATAACATTTTTTGTGATTTTTTCCATTTTCAAAAAATATTGCATGTTTTGTGGATTTTAGGAAAGATTTGAGTTTTTACTAGATTTTTGAAAATTTTAATGAGTTTTTATCGGATATTTGAATGGTCTATACTATTTTATTAGATTTTTGGAGGATCTCATGAGTTTTTTTTTCAAAATTTATTAGATTTGAACTAATCAGATTTTTTAAAAATCTATAATTTTTATTGGATTTTTAAAAATATGAGTTTTTACGAGATTTTTCAAAAAGTCTGACTTTTTATCGAATTCTTAAAAAAATCTATGAGTTATTACCATATTTTTTTAAATATACTAGCAGATTTTTCAAAAATCTATAAATTTTATCGGATTTTTGAAAAAATTCACAGTGTTAATTTTGTTTTTTTTTTTCTGTCAAAAATAAATTGTCCAATCTTTCAAAAAATTTAAAAAAATTATTTTTTTTTAATACATCACCAAATTTTCTTATTCATATCAAAATTTTCAATTGCACTGCCGAATTCTTCTTATTGAATTTTAACAAGATATTTTAAATCTTATAAAAAATTGTAAAGTATCACGTTTAAGAGTAGGTGGCAAGAAAAAAATTCTCTTATAAACTGCACATGCATCTTGAATTAATTTTTCATATATACACTTTAGGAATATAAAATTAGTCTTTCTTTAACGTATTACATCCTCAAATGATGAAATAGGATGAGGAAAGTTCCTCTCTATTTTCAAACCTACATTTTGTCAACCTTAAAAAAACATAATAAAATGAGGTAGAGCTGCAAAATAAAAAAAATAAAAAAAAAAAAAAGAAGTTATAGTACTAATTAAACTTTGTATTAATAATCCATTTTTTAATGAAATGGTAAAAACTTTTTGTGGAACAGTGGAACAGATTCATTGAAAATAATAAACAAGTATACTTCGGATAAATTCCATATACAATACAAAGAAGAAAAAAAAGACCATGCTTCAAAACTACATGATTTTTTCTTGCACACACAACCTATTATTTTCCTCTAGCAACTATTCAGCTCTTTGAATGGAGATCTCATATCAGACATGGATTCATCTTTCTTTAATCTATTTGTACTTGTTGTAGGAGAAACTTGAACTCCCAAATTCTCTTTTACATGGCAAAAGCTATCTTCCTTTTTCAAGTTCATTCCATGACAATCAATCTCAACGGTTTTCTCCATGCTTCTCAACATGTCCATCAGTTGAGTGTCTGCATTAGACAACTCATAGATTCTGTCACTCAACCCTTGAACAAAAGCCAACAAGTTTTCCTTTTCTAATGACAGTTTCGATGCATTTTCTATTAATTTCTCATTCTCCATTATGAGTTTTCTTTCTATTGTGCCTTTTGCAATCACAACACTCTCAAATTCTCTTCTAAATGACTCTTGTTCCAACAAAACCACCTCTTTCTGAAGCTCTTGCTGGATGCTTTCGCCAATCTCTACTTGTGCAAGAAGTGAAGTTTCAAGTTCTTTACGCGCCGAATGACTTTTTTCAAGATCGTTTTTCAATCGCTCAACAATCGACTTCCATATTTGCAGTTCGAATTCCATTTCATTTCTTTCGCAAATTCTCTCATCCAATTCACTGATAGCAATGTCCAAAGCTTCATGAGTTTCTCTAAGTTGTCCTTTTGAATCATGTTCCATCTGCAAAACCTGCTCTTCGAGGATCTGCTGACGCTTAGTTGATTCCTCCAGCATTTCCTTGTACTTGTCAAGTTCATTTTGCTGCGAGGGCTGCAAATCTTTGTTGGATCCGTAGGACTCAACTTCCTTCTTCAAACATGCTGCTTTCTCGCGTTCTTCATTTAAGCCTTTCCGAGTACTGACCAAAGCATCATCTTTCATCTCCAACTCCTTCATCAGTTGAATGATCTTCCCTTCTTTCTCTTTGTTGATTAGATCCATCTCGTCTTTATAATTAACAAACTTTAATTGAGCCTCGGAAATTGCTTGTTTCAACACTAGCAGCATCACATACATCTCCTCATTCAGCAACCTCGTCTCAATGGTAACAGAATGAGACTTTTCTAACTCCATCCGAAGCTCTTCCACCGCTGCAATTTTAGCTTCCAATTCAGACTGACACCTGTTCAAGTCTCCATTCAAATGTTCTATCCGAGAATTCCATTCGGCTTCGGAATGAGAATTTTCCAACTCCATCTGAAGCTCTTCCACTGCTGCAATTTTAGCTTCCAATTCCGACTGACACCTGTTCAAGTCTCCATTCAATTGTTCTATCTGAGAGTTCCATTCCGCTTCTCTAGCCTTAAGAGTCAAGGCACACTCTTTATGTGTTTGTTCTAAGTTTTTAAGTTTGGTCCTCAACTTCGACTGCGAATATGAAGCTCCTGCTTCTTGAATTTGAGCTTCCTGTAGTTCTTTGACCAACATCCTTAACTCTCGATTTTCTTGCTCTAGCTTCTCGGTTCGGTACTTCTCTTCTTTAATATACGCCGCTTGTGTTTTCAACGAATATCTCAAATCTGCAACGTCTTTGTCGCGATCAGAGTTTAAGCAATCCAGTTGTTGTCTAGCATCATGATACTCGCTACCTGCACATTCAAGCTGCAGCCTGAAATCTGAAACTTCAACTTCGAGTTGCTTTTTCTGGTTTTCTACATGCGCAAGAGCCTGGTGGCACGTTTGCAACTGATGTTGAAGATCTTCGTATAATCTGATCTGAGAGTCTAATTTAATTTGAAGCGAAGAAATCTCATCAAGCAATGTAGTTTTTTCCATCTCCCACTCCTTCTTGCTAGACCTAAACTCCCCTTTAAGTTTCTCATATGCTTCTTCTAGATGTTTAAACTGTTCCTTCTTCCACTTCAATTGATCTTCCAACTTTCCTTTTTCCTCTTCCAACTTGTAAAACATGTCATCTCTTTCAATTACTTCTTTCGAAGATTTTAAACTTTTCTGTGATTCCGAACACGAACACTTCTTTGAAACCGATATACAACTTTTCAGTCTCTCGATTTCTTTTCTGTATTCACAAATCTTTTGTTCTTGATTCTCTACCTTGTCATTCGCTTCCTCTAAGGCCAACACTAACCCTCTATTCCCATCTTCCAACTTGTTAGTCTGTTCATCGCAATCAACTCGGATTTTATCAATTGCACCTCTGAGATGTTTGACGATAGACTCTTGTTCTTTCAACTTTCCTTTAAGATCTTCATACAAATTCTTCACCTCTGCGATTTCGTCCGCCTTTCGAAGCAGTTCATGGTCAAGCCTCTCCGATTTCGACTTTGCTTCTCGTGTTTGATTAACCTGTGCATTAAGCGATCTCTTCAAATTCTCAAGCGAATCCGATTTGCTTCTTAATTCTGCCTTGAGTTTATCGATCTCAGATTTCGCATCGTCCAACTCTTCATAAACTTTTTCCATTCTTTTTCACATATAACAAATTCAACAGAATTTTTCCCCTATCAGTTTAAAAAATAAAACCAGCATTATTCTCAATAGTTATATAAAAACAGTTAATTAAACTACTACTATTTATCCCTAAATATAAATGCATTTGTTAATTGGTATAATAACTAATTACAATTATTTATTGTTTTCCAATTAAACTCTTCAAGAATGAACAAAGATATATGAATATGGAAAAGTTAAGATTAACAATATACATATTCAAATAGCAAGAAATTATGTAAAAATGGCCTTCACTTGAAACAATATACATATTCAAATAGCAAGAAATTCTGAAAAGACATCGAAGAACAAAGATAAAACAAAACAATCAAAGGAGTTTTAAGAGCAAAGAAACAAAACCGAAAACTGACCTAACACTTGAAGAGAACAACAAAGCAAGTAGTGTTGTTGTGATTTGGTTGCTGAATTGGGAGAGAAGAAGGAGGGAGAAAGATGAAAGACGAGATTACCGTTATTTTGTATCAATTGTTTTTAATTGTAGAGAAGAGAAAAAAATGAAGTTAGTTAAAGTGAATGTGTATTAAGCAGTTATTTTTTTCTGACATGAATGAAAAACTAGCCGTTGAATGCTTCTATCGGTTACGACTGGGGCCTTTTTTTTTCTTTGGTTGGAATTGCTCTTTTCACTCCAGATTTCTTATTGCACCCGAAAATTTTACTTACACCACTACATTCCATTTGTATTTATCATATTAGTCATGCACAATGTTATAATCCCATTCACAAAAAGTATTAGAATATTTCAATTTTTTAAAAAAAGCTTCGTATTTTTCTGCATATTTCGAAGACATTATCGGATATTTTCGTTTGATAACAAGTAAGTTTGTGTTTTTATAGTATTTTTTTAAATATTTTTTTAGATTTTTCTTTAATTTTTACCGAATGTTTGGAAATATTCGGTAAAAATGTAATCTTTTTTTCCGTATTTTTAAAAAAATTCATACGTTCAACAAGTTTTTTTGAAACATGCATTAAAATCTAGTATTTTAAAATTTTTCTTTTTTGCATTGAACACTAAGGCTCAAATGGTATGATTGTTGGTTGACTGCGTGATAGAGTTGTTCTTGCGAGGGCTTGAGAGAGGGGAGGTGATGTTGAGGACTCACATCTCCGGGCGGGGAGAGTGGCACCAACCGGTTCTCATAGGAGGCGGTTGGCCGATCCAACTCAGTTTCGTGCATCTCGCACTATCCCAAGTAGATGTTTTAGATTTGCTTCTATATGGGCGAGAGATGAAAAGGATGAGCCAGGTGATGTTTAGGCATCGTTTAGTATGACGTACAAATGGTGGCAAAGACATATGTGCCTCATCCGGTAAAGACAAATGTCCCCCATACTTTTGAGATAGCAGAGGTGCCCAATCATTTTGAGGCAGAGGCATCAGCTATTATAAAGGTTACTCCATAGATAGTTATTGAGGTGCCTACTCTACATATAACTATTTAGGTGCCAGCTACAGACGATATAGAGGTTACTCATTCGCATACGCTATACTTTTCTGGTTATCTGTGATGGGATGAGTTAGTGGCTAGACACTTACCTAGGAGGTGTCTACTCCAATATGGATACGTCTAGGACATCCCATAACCAGTCCCTACTATTTCATTTGAAGGCATTGATAGCTGGTTTTTTGGTAACATTATGAGTTCTGCACGTGCCATTAGAGGTCATGCAGTTTCAGTTTAATTCCCCGCGGAGTGTGTGGATTGATATTTGGAATGAGACACTTCTTGAGACATAATGAGACACTTCTTGAGCCAATTAGGGTTTTGAATTTGTTGCATAATGAGACACTTCTTGAGCCAATTAGGGTTTTGAATTTGTTGCATAATGAGACACTTCTTGAGCCAATTAGGGTTTTGAATTTGTTGCATAATGAGACACTTCTTGAGCCAATTCTTCCACCATGTTTAGGCATGCATATGCTTAGGGTTTTAGTGATACTGTGATGCATTTATGTTGCATATTTGATCATTTTCCAATTGGTTTTGATGAGCCCCGATGCATGCCTAATTATTGAAGTATCCTTGTGATTGAATAATTGTTTTGATGGTGCACTTGTGCAATTCTTTTAGGGGATCTTTTCTTACATGTCCTTGGATGTTTTGTCATGAGTAGAGCTTTGGTTTCACATTTTTGATCATTTAAACATTTTTAGATGATGATCTAATTTGATGTTGCTTTAAGATGAAGTATGCCTAATCTTTAACCTAGCTTTAGGACTTGTTGCTTGCATGAATCTTCTTGATAGTTGAGACTCTTGTATGATGTGAATGTCTTGTTTAAGCTACTTCCTTTCCATGTCTCAATGTCCAATTTCATGATCACTTGCTCTTTTATTGGATAGTTGCTTCCTTTTAAGAATGATTTTGATTGATGAATGCCTAGTTACTTAATCATGTTTTGAGTATGATGTTTATTGAATCTTCTTTCCATCTTGAACTTTGTTTTGAATTAACATTCATACTTATGCTACTGCCTCATCATGTTATCTCAATGCTTGAATCATTTTTGGCTTGTTTCTTATGAACTAGATGTTGATAATTGCTTGGTTATTAAAATGATGCATGTATGTTCCTCTTGCGGGTCTTTTTTAATATTTGAAATGTGATGAACATGTTATGATGTAGCTACTCACTTGTATGGGTTCTCATCTTACTTATTTCTATTTGCCTTTGTATGCTAAATGATGATGTTTGGTTATTACATTAAGATATGAATGCTTGTGCACGACTTGTTTGTCATTGCCTAATTTCCTCAACCCTAATCTTTGAACCTTATTGAGCAAAACCTATGATGTTTGAAATGTGTGCATAAGTTTTTAATTTACACATATTTGTTTCTTGGATCCAAGTCAAAAGCATGTCTTTGTTAGAACAAGATTTGGTTCTTCCAGATATCTCTGAGTTTTGATAATAACAAAGTAGTATTTGTGTGAGAAAAATTTTGGTACTCTAACGTTTGTTTTTCGGAAGAATTAATAAATAAGTTCTGACTCTAATAGAGAAATCTCTGACTCTGATAGAGACCTTGTGCAACATCACCCTAATATGACAAAAGTCGCTTCTGCGTATAAAAGCAAGTCTTCTTTTGATCTACTCACATTCAGAAAGTTTCTAAGAAGACAATATGTTGTTGCTGCAATGCTCTCATGGATTCTGGTTCTGAGCGTGAATCTGATGTTTTACTTTTGAAGGCTTTCTAACTTTTGAAGTCATTATCTTCTGAAGACAAAATGCTGAAGACCTTGAAGACAAGGCTCTACTGAACAAAGTTCTGAAGACTTGAGTTTTTGAAGATTAAGTGCTGAAGACTCTGAAGACAAAGTTCTGCTGAACAACATTCTAAAGACTCTGAAAATTTAAGTTACTAAAGACCAAGGGCTCTAAAGACTGAGTGCTTAAAACTCTAAAGACAAGGTTCTGATGAACAAGTTCTGAAGACTCTGAAGACTCAAGACTCTAAAGATCCAATGATCAACTCTTCTACTCATGCTTCAATAATCTCTATTCAGAAGCCTCTGATGTACATAAGACGAGCTCAAAAGTTTACGAGGGAAAATAGTACATAGTACGTTTTAATGTTCCATTCCACTACCATTCCACTATCCTAATTTGGTGGTACAAATGACAACTTTTATGTATGATTTTCATCCCTGCGTAACAACATTATTTCAAGTCGCCAGCTATTTAAAGGATATTCTTGATCTGCCCTCAAAGGTATCTTTTTCAGACTATATAAGGACTTGATTACTTAGAGAAAATAAAGTTTGACATCGATTAACGATCATCAAAGAAGAATGAATGACACAAATTAAACGATCTATGAAGAACTGAAGCAACAATATTGAAGCACCACAATACCAAGAAAGGACATTGTTTATACTGTGAAAGTTTCTTTAAGTCATTTGAGCTATTAATAGTGTTTATATCTGCTTGTGTAGAAGAAATTCATTGTAAACATGTTTGTTCAGACCGTTTTTTTGTAATTCCTTAAGTGACCAGTTAGGTCAGAATCCTTAAGAAGAGACAATTAGTCTTTGTTGTTAGTCACCAGCGGTTGCTAGTGCAAATTGAGATTCCTTAAGGGACCAGTTGGGTCAGAATCCTTAAGAAGAGACAATTAGTATGTGTTATTAGTCACCAGCGGTTGCTAGTGCAGTGTAATCAGTTGATTATAGTGGATTAAGTCCTTGTGTATAAGGAGAAATCACCTTGGCGGGTGGATTGGATTAGCTTGATATTTTTCAAGTGAACCAGAATATATCGTGTGTCTTTCTCTCTTGTTAGTTTATTTGTGATCTTTGTTTGAGTTTCACAAAAAGCTTTCATTTTTGAAAACCTAATTCAACCCCCCCCCTTTCTTGTGTTTTCTCACACCTTCAATTGGCATCAGAGCTCTGGTTCTGATTGTGATAAAAAAATTTATCAACATTTCACTGTGTTCAGTATCGATCCAGTGTTTGTGCGAGATATCATGGTTGTAGCTAATGTTAATCCTATTCGAGATGAGAAAGATCATTACAATGTCAAACCACTAGTCTTTGATGGTGAAAAGTTTGACTACTGGAAAGATATAATTGAAATTTTCTTTCTTGGTTACGATGTAAATCTTTGGGATCTTGTAGTTGATGGCTATACTCACCCAGTTGATGCTGAAGGAGTAAAAGTACCAAGAAGTGTTATGACTGTAACACCCTTTTCTACCCCAAAAATATAATAGAAAATCATTTATATTTATCATAGTAATATTTTAAACATAACAAAAATCACCTCAAAGGGCGTACATTTCTCAATAATTCAAATTAAAGTCAATGCTCCGTAAACAACGGGTTTTCCCAAAATTACTCAAAAATTGCTATTATGATAGCGGAACTCAAAAAGGTCAATCCAAAGTTTTCCTTGCACAGCAACATAATCAAAATAACAAAAATCAATAAAACATGGTTTAAC